TATATACCTATGTGGGGGTAAATATATATTCTGAGGTGGGGGGGTTGACAATTTTCGCATACCTTATAGATCAACTATTTACCCCCCATTTTCAATAACTTTTTGGAATTCTGCAAGCCTATTCTTGACTTTACCGAAAGAATCAAGAATATGAATCCCTGCAGTCACGAAAGCTTTAAATTCTGCAAGCCTCTTATAATTTTGTTGGTGGAGAAATGGACAAACAGCCCACCGGGCTCTCACAATTCCTGTGTACGTATATGTAAGGTTTTTAAGAGAAGTTTTGAAATATATTTTTTGCCTGGGCAACGCCGGGTACTTCCCACGAGTAATACATATGTGGTGGTCAGGTTTGACACACGCGCCACAACCAGGGGGAGGAGTAGGAACCGGTCCGAACCGGTCGGGCCAACGGCGGTTAGAACCCCTCGGAGGGGAGGGGGCTGGCAGGAGCTACGATCCCCCAGAACCCCGCCCCTCAGGGAGAAAGAGTATATAAGGCGGCTCCCTAAGAGCGCGAGTCAGTCCGTCTCAAGCCGAAGCCAGAAGCCGCCTGGAGATCAAGAAGACCCTGGACCCCAAGCCGCCGATGTCCTTCTAAGGGCCGGGGCTCAGTGCGGTGCCAGTGGTCGTGGGGCTAGGACCCTGTGGTTTCCTCGGCCTGATGCCCTTGTAAGGGCCAGGTCCGGACGGGCCAGTGGTCGGGGACCCACCGGTGCTACCGGTGGGTCAGCCTCCCCTAGGGTTAGATAGCCGGAGGGCTCAGGAGAGGAAGAGTGGGTAAGATAGTCCGGAGACTGTACCTCCCCAGGTTGTGGGTGAAAGGGGCCATTACCCCTTGTGTTAAGGGATTAGTATAACTGTTGTCTCTAAGAAGACTCCGTCTCCTTCCCAAAACGTTACACATATGTAATGTGAGGGTATATCCGGGTGGTTGATTGATCACACCTCGTTACGATGATTGGCTCTACCGGTCCTGGCCCATAGCCAATGGGGAGAAGTCTAGGGGCGTGGCCCTGACGTAATGGGAAGGTGACATCTGCAAGTAGATGATTGTATCTGCTGGCTTTAGCCACAGCCAATGGGGGGACGAGTCAGGGGCGTGGTCCTGGGATCGTACGATGGAGTCTGGAAGATTCCATGGAGGTTAACCAGGACTAGTGGAAAGGTACCACGTGACCCGGGTATTAAAAGGGGTGGAGATGGACAACACGTGGTCAGATCTGGAACGAACGAAGGGTGAGGCCACGCTGGAGCGGGGGTCCAAGTCTGCCACGTGGCAGCACGAGTCTCTCTCTCTCTCTCCCTCTCACGCTGTATGTTAGCAGCGTGAAGGAGTAAGAGGAGTGGAATTTATATGAGGAGTTTTGTGAACGAAAGACAAATAAAGACCCTGATTCCAGAAGTCGCTTCCACGACCTTTATTACATTGGTGAGACCGTTTGGACCATTATTAGAAAATGTCCAAGCACCTCAAGAAAAAAAACCCACCGGATCCTCCGTCGAATGAAGATGACGAGGCGGACGAGGACGAGCTGCTGGGAGCCACGGGTCCTCTGCCGCCGTCTGCCGATCTCTCCGACGCCGCGCATCGACGACAGGCCGGCGAGGAGGCGTCTCCGGCTGGGGACGAGGGGTGGCGTCGGGTGGTGGAGCAGATAGAGTCGCTCCGTGCGATCCTGCTAAATCTTGCAACGGCGGTCGCGTCATCTGCGGACCTCGGTCGGCCGCGTGGAACTCACCCAAGGGCCGATGACCAAGATCTTCAGCGGGAAACGCCGTCCGCCATTGCTCCTGCAGCGGAGGGGGAGGCCTCCATCTTGGGCGGGGCTGCTGCCACGCGGCCGCCGGACGCCATCTTTACGGAGCCGTGTGCTGCGCGGGGAGTGGGATCTGACACGCCCGAGGCCTCGGATATTCACTGCGGCCATCGCCTTCCTCAAATTAAAGAATTTGTCGCCGGGGGCGACTCGAGCGCGTTCACGTGGCGGTTCGAGTCAGCCTTCCGTCGGTGCGATGGACGGAGGCAGAAGCGCTGGAGGCTCTGCCCACACTATTGGACGACGTCTCCTTGGCAGTCGTCCGCTCCATCCCGGCGAGTAAGAAGAAGACACTGCGTGACGATTTCAAGGAAATGGCGGAGTTCGACGAGCCACCGATGGCGGCTACCAGGAAATTCATGCATCGGCGTCGAGGAGTGGAAGAATTGCCCTTGGCGTACCGTGGGGTGCTGTTGGCGCTTGCCATGGCCGCCTACAGATTCATCAGCCGATTTCCTGGATCCTCTCATCCTTTCTAGGATGATTGAGTTGTCCCAGGAACTTAACATATCATTGCCGGTGTGCGGCCACGAATGTTGACACACACGCGCGCCAGAACCAGGATGCTTACCGGTATGGGATGGTTGTGTATTCCTGGCCAGGACCCGCTGGGGGGAGGGGGCTGTGGGCAGTGTCTACGATCTCACAGAATCCCCCGCCCCACAGTGGGGAGCAGTAGAAACCGGTCTGGACCGGTTGGGCCAACGGCAGTTAGAACCCCTCTGAGGGGAGGGGGCTGGGGGAAGCTACGATCCCACAGAGCCCCGCCCCTCAGGGAAAAACAGTTTATAAAGCGGGTCCTTGAGAGCGCGGGGCAGTTCGCCTCGAGCCGAAGTCAGAAGCCGCCTGGAGAGAAGACCCTGGACCCCAAGCCACCGACGTCCTTTTAAGGGCCGGGGCTCAGTGCGGTGCCAGTGGTCGGGAGGTTAGGACCCTGAGGTTCCCTCGGCCTGATGTCCTTCTAAGGGCCAGGTCCGGACGGGCCAGTGGTCAGGGACCCACCGGACCAGCGGTGGGTCAGCCTCCCCTAGGTCTAGCCAGCCGGAGGGCTAGAGGAGTCAGAGTGACTCGGTACAATAGCCCGGAGGCTGTACCTCCATAGGTTGTGGGTGGAAGGGGCCATTACCCTTTTGTGTTAGGGTTTAAGTGTACCCTGTTATATTATAAATAAAACCGTGTTGCCTCTACGACGACTCCGTCTCCCTACAAGAACATTACACATACTGACACACACATTGCCCTACATACACATATGGACTGTGACACACAGACATGTATTTTAGATACACACACATGGATTAACACACAAATCGACTCATACACACGCATTGACTTACACACACATCGAGTGACACACACACATCGAGTGACACACACACATCTATGGACTTACACACACACATACACATCGATGTACACACACACATCGACTGACACACAAACGCACATTGACTTACACACTCAGATGGAGCCATGCACACACATAGACTAACACAAACACATGGCCTAACACATACACAGCGACTGATACGCACACAAATGGACTGACACGCACACTTGGACTGACACACACACGTCGGGCGTTGTCCGTTCGAAAAAGACAGACACACACATGGACTTAAAACACATGCATGGACCTACACGCACACACATAGACTCACACACATACATCGACGTGCACAGCAATCCCCGATGATGGCACAGCTATCAGTATCGCAGTACTACGTATGAGTAAAAAGCGTGACGTGAGCAATCGGAACAATAGAAATGCATTGAAGAAATAAGTGTCAATTAAAGAGCAGCAGTACGCACAGGTAAGTTGAGAAGCAGGATACAGTCTAGATTATAGACTGGCGGTACGCCAACTCAATGACATAAGCATTGCTACAGTTGACATACAAAGCTGGCAATACGGGCAGTAGCTGAAAAAGCAGAATACAGTGGAGATGAAAGGCTGGCAGTACACCGAGTGAAGTAAAGAAGCAGGCAACAGATTATAGACTGGCATACACTCATGATGGTCAAAAGGAAAATTAGCAGTGTAGATAATAGAGCGGCAGTGCACTGACGTTAATTAACAGCAGGCAGCAGGCCACATCACAGATTGCCAGTAGACCGTCGCAGCGTCATGAAAGCACAGCTAAAAAGAGAATATTTAGCAACCTAATAATGAAACATTTGTTTTGTGCACACAAACATTATAATTGTAAAATCTGGCAACATATTTGTTTAATAATAGTAAACAGTAATACTACAATAATACTATCTAAGCGCTGTAATAATATTAATATCTACGGACTTCATAGCAGTAACTGCACGCATCATGTTGGGGGGGGGGGGCGAAGAGGACATCACAGTGAGAAGAAATAGCCGCAGCCTCATGTGTATATTTATTGCATGTAAAACGCGTAAAAGAAAATGTCCCCCGTGAGCTCGACCAAACGCGCATGACTTGGCAGGGCCCCCCCCCACGCAATTGGCGTGAGTTGGTACAGCCAATAAATAAATATAGCAAAATCCCACTAAATCGCGAATTTAACTAATTTAAAGGTGACGGACGTTAAAAAGGAATAGCCTATTCCCATCGCGGGGCTTAGGGCGTGCCGGCCGGCAAATTTTTTTCTACATAAAGCCCACCGTTCGAGAGCCAAATCCCTCGCAAGTGCGCGTATATATAAGATTCATTATTTTTTATTTTACAAGGTAAGGCCCACTAAGCTATTTAGAAGTGACCTGGCTATCACAAATGATAGCCCAAATACTCTAAACACATTATGTTGATTCTAAATGTGGAGGGGAAAACCTGGACCCAGAGAAAAATCCACACGACCGTGGGGAGAGACGCAAACTCCAAATCTACAGGCGTCAGGGTCGGGATTGAACCCACGCCTTCCTGTATACCAGGCAAGGTAGTTAACATCTCGCCACCGTGACGCCCACTTCAGGCATGACCTGAAAACTAATTCAATGTCCACAGCGCTGACGAGAAAGGCACTGCCCATTAAAAGATACACTTCTAGCATGATTTTGCATTTGTGGCAAAAATTGCTTTTTGTTGTTACACGTTACATGCATCGCCACACACCGTACAACAATCACGAGCGGAGCACGGTCTGACCCAAGGGCCAAAACATGTGCAAGAGACGTAAATTGCATGCTGGGGCCCGGCGAGCTCTTTACCTGCTGCACGTAGAAGTCGCTGGGACTGTTTATGTGGCTTAACATGAGGCAGAACCACGTGAGGGGCTGGAGCTTGCTGGGTGGAATGAAGGCTGGATAACGACCGGGCCTGTGGACTGGCATGGAGAGTGGTGCGGATTGGCACCGGAACCTGCGCGCAACAATAATAAATAATACCACACACATAAAGAGGTTTTTTGGTTTTGATCGCAATCTAACCCAAAAAAACTATCTATAAGGCAATTAAAGAGACGCGCATTAGCCCACGAACTGATATATAATTTGTTGTTACTTTGCTGTGCAATTTTTAATCTGCACCATAAAATAACAAAACTCATCACATTTAATCTCCTTTTAACACGTAGTAGGCTTTCACGACCAATATTATCCATAAGGGTTTTTGGTTTTGGTTGATATGGCGTAAATTTTAATGTGTCGTTAACCCCGCCACCACCACACGACACAGCCAATTAGTTATGTTGTATGTGTTGTATTATGAAATTTTGATAAAAATAATAAAAATTAATAATTTTCCGAAAAATGCGCAAATCACATTAATTATGTTAATGTGTGTATTAACGTGCATAAATTATGATGTGTAATTATATGCATAAATTATGATAATTACGAAGATAATCGTAGTAATTTATGCGGAAGCTTGCAATTATGTTAATGTATGCAGTTATGATAATTAGGCTTAGTTTCGTTTATCCAGAGTCGTATTAATCAGGATAACACGATTATCATTGATTAAACATTTACCGATTATCCTAGTGTGTTATGTTATTTTAGGTTTCCAGTTTCATATCTCATCACAGGCTACAGTTCTCAAGAATAAGACAGTTTTGCATGGACTTGGAAGGAACACTCGATATGCTTCTGTGATAACAATTTTATTCTAACAAGCATGTGACATTCTATCATGCAGGTCAAACATGCGTCAATAATTCATGAGCAAGATTATGCAATTAACTAATATGAATGACAAAAACTTATGCATTTGCGAGATTATGCAATTACGAAATTAAATGACTAAAAACACTTCTAACAATCGTAACCTCTACCTTTCACCAGGCATCTCATTAGTTCCCCCATGTATCGATCACAACCGGCGACTGACCGAGTTTGAAAACAAGCATGACACACTTCGTATGGCGGTAATAAAAGCACTTATTATACCCCAGAGGCGAAAGTATATGTCAATAGATTCATCGGCAAGTATAAAATCCTTTTAACGAAATGTTTGAGACAAGGGTGGGTGGATGCGTGTTGTGAGAGGGAGCACTGGCTCTGTTTTAATTAATTCTTCGGCGAGACTCTATGACAAAGAAAACTGGTTTGACAAGATATTCTCTGTACTTCCTTGAGCCTGTGTGTGGAAGCGGACACGACCCTGTTCGGAGATTTCCTCACAGCCCGTGCGGATTGCAGACGCGACTTTCTCCGCAGGGAGTTGAGCGGCGGCGCTTGGCGGTCCTCGGTAGCTGACGGCGCGATGGCGCCTCTCTGCAGCTCTGACGGCGGCGCTCGTTCGGAAGACTTTGACTCTCTTTCTCCACTGCGGGATGACGAGTCGGTTTTGGTTGATGCTGGTTGATCTGGGTGTGCGTATTAAACACACGGCGCATTCGATGGCGCGGTCCTCCTCCTCACAGCCGTTCAATCAGGCTTTCTCCACTGCTTCGCGCTCTCTGCTTTGCTCGCTTGGCGATCTCCGCCTTTCCTGCGGGTTGTTCGCTGGTCGTCACTCTGACGAGGAGCGATGCTTCGTTCGTTGCAGGGTGGACGTTGGTGTCTTTGTTGGCTCGGGAGTGGTAGCTGGAGTCTCCGTCAGCTTCACTCGCAGCTCGGCGACTCAGGGTAGCGATTCTTCTCAGGTGGTGCAGACCTCGGCTTGTTGCTGCACGTCGCTACCCCGCGAACCTCGTCATTCTGGATGACGAAAAGCTTCTTCGTTGGCGGTGACGAGAGGAGATGGAGCCGACGCCCCGTGACGATCTGTGGTGGGGCCTGGGCCCTGACGATCTGGTGGGGGCTGAAGCCCCGGAGACGAGATGCTTTGAATGGATTTTGCCTTTGCTTATATCGGGAAAATCCACAAAGTTTTTTTTTGAGTTGTTCAAAAGGCTGTGTCATAAAACATTCCTGTGGGGGTGAACGCATCTGCGTCCGCGTGTGTCTGTCCGTGTGTGTTTGTCTGTATGTTTATTAGCTTTGAAGACACAGCTGTGTAATCATTCTGGAAGAAGGGGTGGGGGGGGGCCTCGCGACGGCGACACCCAAGTTATCCATTAACCAGACCGACGACTCGCGTTAGCACCGAGTTATAAATCATACTCCCTGTCTTTGTTATGAACAATATTGCCGCGAGAACCTACGCGTTAAGCGAGCTCAATGATCCCCTCCCTCGCTCTGGGCGTCATATCTTCTGTTTGTGTTGCGGGGAGACAAAGACGGTTGTTTCCGCGGTGGAAGCACCCGGCGCATGCGCTTATTTATTTATCTTCGGAGGCATGTGTTAATTTCCTTTCTGAGCCATTGTTCCAACCTTTATTGGGGCAATCTCCTGGCCCCTGGTGTGTGGGTGTGGAGATCCTCTTCGGGAAAACAAAGACGGCCGTGAGTTGCTCGCCTCTCATGGAGCATCGCGTCTAGTTAATTGTGAGAGACTTCTTCGCCCTTAATTCTGTACTTATTATTTGACTTCTTGTGATTATTTAATCTGATATCCCGGGCTAGGAATTTTTGTTTGGAGCGACCCTGATGCCATAATTATTCTTTGATGCTTCGGCCCGGCCGCGTAGAAACTACCAAGTGTACATAATGTCCGTATGGAATTAATACATGAGGATTCAAACCCGTCTGTGTTTTTTTTGTTGTCGATGCTATTTTCTTTGTTAAGAATATAATTATACCTTTCTCCCTGGTGCCTGGTTTTTTTTTATAAGGCTTTTTAACGAAAGAATGTCATCCTAACCCCCCGCCTGCAATTCTCCCCTCCCTTGTTCCTCTTGTGTGAAATTCGGGGAGTTTTTATGACCTTGATTGCCCTCTTTCATGCCCTCTTTCCTTTGAAATGAGGTATGCGCGCATCTGTGGAAGTGTGGGAGCGTGTTCGTTCCCACGTTGCCCCGTGTCTATTAAAAAACAATATTATATATGTTGGCAGAATAATTCTTAATGAAAATCATAAAATAAAATAAAACATAAAAAGGGGGTAAAGACACAACAGTTACTATAAGAATAGGTTTTTCCCCCTTTTCTGGCAACAAAACTGAAACCTTTTTACAAGGAATCATGTCTGCATTAACCACATTACTTGTGGTCAGAATGCAAACAAAAAAACTCTGATAATATATGCATTGTCCTTGAAACTGATTGGTCCACACCAGACAGCTTTCTATTGAGCTTCTTCTCAAACGGTGCTTGACCAGAGGACACTAAATGCGGACAGCGCAAAGACAATGCACTACCAAAGTAATGAGGGCTTGGGGTAAGCATCTATATCAGGGGTCGGGAACCTTTTTGACTGGGAAAGCCATAAAAGCCAAATATTTCTAAATATATTTCATTGAGAGCCATATAGTATTTTTAACGTATAATACATTAAATATGTCTTACTTTTAATGCGACTTCTGGTGCTGCATGGTTTTGCTGATGGCCTTGTAGTCTGGTTCATACGTGGTGAGGTTGAGCTTCATGCAGGCGTTGAGGCTTCCATCAGTTAAACGTGAGCATAGGTTGGTCTTAATGTTCCTCATATGCGAGAATGAATGCTCACATGCATATGTAGAGCCAAACATGGTCATTACGGCAATACTCACACGCTGCATTGTGTGGTATGTGTAGTGGGTTCAATTTAGGCGCACACACTTCTTGGGAGGCAACACTCATTTATTAATTAACACAACGTTTACTCAACAGTTACTCTTACTCTACACATAGGGTGGTGACCACCGACCTACACTAGCTAACACACAATTGTATTTTAGTCTCTCTCCAGCGTGACCCAGCCAGGTGGCTGCTGGCAGTCCGCTCACTGTAGGTCTTCTCTTCTGGCATCTTCACGAGGTGTCTTCATTCTTCTCAGGAACAGCCCTGCTCTGCCTTCACACCACGCTTATATCTCGTCTCTCTGGCGTGGCCGGCTCCGCCCAGGCCACGCCTCACTTCCCAGGCCACGTCTCACTTCCCAGGCCACGCCTCACTTCCCCCACCTCTGGGAAGGTCCGGATCCCTCCAGCACGTGACCCCCCAGGCACCCCCTTGGGGCCCCCAGCCCTCGTACGGGCCAACACAGTAGTGACCGTTCTGTCACTACATCACCCCCCCCTGTATAAAGACACAGCCGTCCCCGGCTGTAACACAACTGTGAACATCGAAAAGGTGTGCCTCCGAACCAGCAACATCAATAAATGACCGGCGACCGATAAGAAATACAATCACGTAATATATACAGAATCGACGAGGGTAAAAGGGAACCGCATAGAAAACGGGGAATTAACAACAAATATACATGAAAACTGGCTAACCCACTTACGCTACAGCACAGCCCCCCCATCGTTAGAATCACGCATGCAATGACAGTCACCCGTTAGCACCCCCCCGCCTTTCCGACGTGGCGTCACAACCAGTAGCACGCGTCGGCCATATCGGGGGGGGAATTTCCATGTTACCACCCCACCGCCTTTCCGACGTGGCGTCACAACCAGTAGCACGCGTCGGCCATATCGGGGGGGGGGATTTCCATGTTACCCCCCCACCGCCTTTCCGACGCGGCGTCACAACCAGTAGCACACGTCGGCCATATCGGTGGGATTTTAACCCAGTCTCTCTCCAAGACTCGCATCGCAGCATATAGCTGTACCGACCGAGCTGAGATGACCCAGTCTCTCTCCCAGACTCGCATCGCAGCATATAGCTGTACCGACCGAGCTGAGACGACCCATCGTTCACTCACTGCACAACATGCACCCTAACAACTGAGGGAAACAGTCTCAACGTAACAGGCCAACTCCACCCGAACCTTACGAATCTCCAGCCCACTGTTTCAACGCGCCTCAGAGGGTCTCAACCTCCGAGCCGTCAGGTCAAGCTGTCAGCCATAGCATGACGGGACCACCCTCCCTGAGCCATGTGAGCGCACAGCCC